GTTATATGAATTGTTGAATGTGAAACTGATGATGTGCCCTGTAAACTTTCACTCAATCCACAATAAAAACCTTAAATTAAAAAAAAAAAGGGTTTCACTTGGAAAAGGGAACATTCAGCACCAGAGGTAAATGAAATAAACATGAAAAATGTAGCCAATCAATTTATGCCTGTACAGTGAGCACAGAATGCATGATACTTTATTAATAATAGCCAACCACAGGCAAAATCAAAAGGAAGCTAAGTTGTCTTCTGTGCTTTGTCTGTGACTCCTGGCCTTTCCTTTTCCATTATCCTAGTATGGCACTGTAAGATAAGCACTCAACTACAAGATCAGTGGGTCACACCCACTGGCCGCTCCTCGGAAACCCTATACAGGGCCGCTGTGTGTCAGAACCGACTCGATGGCACTCAACAACAATAAAGTAGTGTCAGAACCTTAGTTCTCATCTTCAGGGCTGACTCCCTTTTGTGCTTCACCTGAGATCTTGTTAACTGAGTTACACCTCATACTCAGGTGTGATAATCTCTATTCTAAGAGATCAGTCCTTTAAGAAAACACCAACATTTAAAAAGGAACCTTTAGCAACTGCTTCAAACAAACAAAAAATCCACACTCATTGTCAAGATTCAGGATTCTGAATTTTAGCAAATCTACAGGACAGAGTAGAACCACTCCACAGGGTTTCCAAGACTAAATCTTTTCGGGAAAAGACAGCCTCATCTTTCTCCCATGAAGCGGCTGGCTGGTGGATTTGAATTTCTGACTTTGTGGTTAGCCACCCAATGCTTACCCACACTGCATCACCATGGGTCCTTACTCCACCAAAGGAGTAACTAACAAGTAGTGGAAACTGTCCTCTGGAGTTATATATGCCTTTCTCTGGGATGCATGATTGCTCTGAACGATAAGCACTGGACTGCAAACCACAGGTCCATAGTTTGAGCCCACCAGCTGCTCTGCAGGAGAAAGATGAAACTTTCTGCTCCTGTAAAGATGCACCACCTTGCAAACCCTATACAGGGTCTCTATGAGCTGGAACCAACTTGAAGGCACTTAACGACAACTGCTTCTTCGTAACTACATGTAGTTAACACTTTCCACTCTGTTGCTGCTGAGTCAATTGTGACTCACAGGGTCCCAAAAGGGCAGAGCAGTACTGCTCCATGGGGTTTCTAAGGCCTCAATCTTCACAGAAGCAGATTGCCGTATCTTCCTCCTGTGGAACAGCTGGGTTCAGATCGTTGACCTCACGGTTAGCAATTCAACACTAAAGCATCGTGCCAACAGAGCTTCTTTAGCTATGGCTAGTCCTTAAGGAAGGAATAAGAGAACAGAGAAAGGTCTCGAAATTTAAAGTTGCCTGACCAAACCCTAACTTCCATCTTTAAGTAATAACTCTGAGAAGACACAACCAAATGCCAAACAACTTATTTTGAAGCCACATTAAAGATGTAATAATACAAAATGCCTCAAGTAGCATTTATAAAAAGATGAATAATTTATGAAAAATAAATAAGCAATTCTCACACTTAAATGATTTCATAAGACAACTTTCCTTTCCCTTTTTTTTTGAAGGAAATATGAAGGTTTTTAAAAACTGGACTTTTTTTATGATAAACAACTGACCTTGTTCAAGGAGCCTATATAATTATTCTCTTTAATATTAAATATGCCTTTCCCAGCAGAATACCTTACACATAGAGGACACACAATATTTTATATTTGTTGTTGTTTTTGTCAAGTGTTGTCGAGTCAGTTCTGACTCATAGTGACCCTGTACAGGGTTTCTGAGGAGCAGCTGATAGGTTTGAATAGCCAACTTCGTGGTTAGCAATCCAGTGCTTATCCTACAGCGTCACACCAGGACTCCTATTTTATATTTAGTGGGAAAAGAACAAAATCTGTCATTCTTGGATCAGTTACAAGTGGCTGACATTTAATTTCTCAAATGTCTTTCACACACAATATATTTTTTTAAAAATCTACCTCATATGAAAATTCAATAGTCCTTCTTGTGCCCTACTGATTTCTAGTTTTTCAACAAGTTAGTTCCAACTTTAAAGGTACCTTGTATAGAGTTTCTGAGGAATGGCTGGTGGGTTTGCACTGCTAACCTTGTGGTCAGAAGTCCAGCGCTTATCATGCAGTGCCATACCATGATCCCTACTTATTGGTTGTTGTTGTTAAGTGCCATCGAGTCGGTTCCGACCCATTGCGACCCTGTATAGGGTTTCTGAGGAGTGGCTGGTGAGTTTAAACCATCAACCCTGCAATTCAAACCGACCTTGTGGTTCAGTGTATTATCCCACAGCGCCACACCTAGTGTCCAACAAGCTATAATCTCAAAATTAATAAAATCATATCCAGAAACACATATGACAAAACTAACAACCAAATAATCCATCTAGTTTTGAAACTAATTGCCTAGTACCTAAAGAACATTATGGAAACAGACTCATCTTTTTACCAAAACTAAATTAAATGAAGGTAAAGGGCTGATGAAAGTAAAGGGCTGAGAAATTCTTTGAGGAAGCGAAACAAACAAAAAATCAGGATATAAAAGAAGCTTTATTTGGAATACAGGGTCCTAAGATTAACTTTCAAGTGAATCTCTAAAAAGTAACTCACTGGTAAAGAAAGAAGAGCAAAGAGAATGATTTCATCTATTTATAACAAATATTACAAGAATCTTCACAAGAAGGCATGGGTAGTTAATGGACAGAATAATGGGGAAAATGACTGAGTTTTAAACTATTCCAATCTGAATTGCCTCTTCGGTGCTTCCCTCTAGAAGAGGGGTGGGGAACCTTTTTCTGACGAAATTTGTAATATCATTTGTGGGCCATACAAAATTATCAATTTTAAAATTAGCCTGCTATATTTGGTCATTTAATTAACTTACCCCTAATGTGATGGCAATGGAGTCCTGGTGTGGCACTGTGGGTTAATGCACTGTACTACAAGGTTGCTTTGAACCGCAAGTTCGGCGGTTCAAACTCACCAGCTGCTCCTTGGAAACCCTATACAGGGTCACGATTGGTCGGTACTGACTCAATGGCACTTAACAACAACAATAATAATGCGATGGCTGGAACTGCAGTTGACTTGGCAGGGCCACACCATACGATTTTGAGGGCCTTATATGGCCTGGGGTTGGATGTTTCCCACCCCTGTTCTAGAGGCTCTAGATGTGAAGCTGATATAGCCCTGCTATTACGGCTGGTGGTCCCTTCCTTCCTTTCTGAACAGTTCTACTATATACAATCTTCTAAAAATATATAATTAAAATATCAATTCTAGACACAAATGAGATTGAAGCAATATGGGGTACTTACGTTCACACTGTATGACGTCTAAGTTAAATTGCTGAACAGCTCCCATGCTTATTTGTTTTAACTCACTGTCCAGTAGCATCTGCATTAAGGATGTTGACAGATGCTGGCAGGCTGACATGCAAGCTGTCTGGGCAACTTTCCCCTGTTTAAAACAAAGAGCCAAACCAAAAAAATAAACAAATAAAAGCAAATAGAAAGAAATATATCATAAAGTATCAAGAAAGTTATATACCTGGCATTCTTCTAGTTGCTTTTTAAAACACAAGAATGATTACCAACCTTTCTGTTTTTGTATTCTGAGAGGTTATGCCTTTATCATAGTGAAAATGAAGGTTCTTGTTTACTTTGCCTTCTCAGGATATAAATACCATTAAAGCTCTAATTACACAAAGGAAAATGAAAATACAAGCTACAAATAACTTCATATGTCTTAAAATGTCTCAAGTATTTTAAATGCATATTAAAATATGACAATTATGACAAATAACAACTGGCATACTTCCGGAACATTATATCCATATAATGATTTTTAAGCTCTCCTTTATATAATTAACCAAGCCAAAAGAAAGGATAATAACTAATAGAATAAACTGCAGAAATTCAATATATACTTTGGATGATACTATTTCTAATCAGAACATTAATTTATAGCAGTTTCAATTAATAAAAATAATGGCTTACATATCAATATGACTTCAAAACCATCTATAGATCTGCATTTGGTTTTACAAATTAGGTTTTATAACCACTAATAACTTAGAAATATGTAATTAATTAAAACATAAAGATTGTGATTTTCTTTCACTATACACAATGTCACAATATAAAATTTCACTATAATAAGCTCTTAAAACACTACATGTGGGTGCTGGGGGATAGGGGGACCAATACACAAGAAGGGGGAGGAAAATGGAAGAACAAGGCTGATGGGAGAACAATTAGGCAGGTTCATATGAGCTAGGTGGGACAGAGGTAAATGATGATGTATGCACAATCCTGGAAGAACAGGGCTCCGGGATACAGGGATCGAGGCATGGTTTGAAGGGGTAAAAGAGGGGAATAATGTTAAGATGCTTGGCTGTCTTCTGAATTTTGGTTTCCCTTGCCTACCAATGTAAAATAGATACTTGAGGCGGTGGGGAGAAAGGACTAGCCGGAAACATCACTACAGAAAGCTTGTAAGTTCGTCTTCAGCCTACAACTGATTAGAATACCTTAAAGGGGGCTAGAAGTTGCCCAGTTAAAGAGGCTTCCTGTGGAGCCTTTACATTGCATAAGACCATAGGTAGAATCCAGAACCCCATCCAGAATCATCTGAGGTAGAAAATTTCCACTGGAAAGGACGAGTTAGACCAGCCTGGAATAGCCAAAAGAACAGAAGATACTTCATGAAAGAAAGACCAACAGGAAAAATCCAAAACAATAATGGCAGTCCGATTGATTACTACAAGAACAAGTAAAGCTGTTCACCCGGGAGCCATCAAGGCAAGTGGCCTAGACCCCTCAGAGCAAACTCCCTTCCAATACTGAGACTCAAGGGGAATACATGAGCAGGCAGGTGGTCTGGCTGGTGACCACATTTATCACCAATAAGGGGAAGAGGGGTAAAAAATAGCAATGAAGTTGTGAGCCAAGTCCGACCACATTCAATAGACCCCTGTGAACCTAGGTGGAGACCTGGATGGCCAGCAGTACAGAAAGACCCAGGGACTCATGGGCCCAGAGGCAATGACATGGCCACAGAGGACTAGAGCGGAGAGTGAAGCAACCAGCTGATATGGAGTAAGGGGAGATGCACAAGAACACCCATACTTGCAGATAGTACCCACTTGACCTGGCTTCGATGGTAGGATGATCAGAACTTGACTAGAAGAAAGGGTGGTGGGGAGAGTAACCTGCTATAATTTGATGAACTTTGCCTAAACTTATGGATGTAATAGCTCAAAAAAGGGAACAAATCTTTATAGCAAGGATCACTGCCACCCCATCAGTACACAGGATTGACAGGGATGGGCAACTTAGACATTGGCTACCCAAAATGGGGGAGCCTATAAAGGTAACAAGTGACTGGCTTACAAGATTTCAAGAGGGAGTCTAGTTCCAGACAGGACGGGGGAAGGTAGAGTCACCACTGAATGATTTCCAAACTGCTGGTACCAGGCTAGCGAAAGGAAATGGGGATAAGACTCTTGTGGTACAATAGTGAATAACTGCCATCAGGACTGACTGTGAGGGTAGGAAATATAGAGGTAGAAGTTTTTTGACAAAAGGAGGGGAGTGATTGATTTTGCAGTCTAGGAGTGGAGGTCCCTGGGACCATCAAGTGAGAAGAGTGGAGAGCTGGACCCAACCCAGAGAGGCAGTGATGCCAGGGATGGAGACAGAGATGATGATGTGGACAGATGGAGAGGCTAGGAACACTGAACTCAGGGAGGGAGAAGGGCTGTGTGCTGACAGCTGGGTGGTGGGCCTGCGCGGTGTACCTTTTGCTTATTTGATGATGCATGGGGGGGATTGTAATCATTGCAATGAAACACAATACGATAGGATGAATGTAAAACAGATATTCTTCCATGTAAACCTCACAATAAGAT